GAACTCCAGTTCTCCAGGAACCCCGACCCACCCACCAAGAATTCCACTTCACTCCCCAGAACTCCCCTAGTTCTGCTCCCCCAAAGAATTGCACTCCTCTTCACAAGTCCCTCGCTTTCTCTTGTCCCCCATAACTCCCTCACTGTTCTCCATCTCCCCGCCAGAACCCCCATTCCATTCCCCCCAGAACGCCCCCGCCCTCACCTGCTCCGCTCAGCTCGGCTCCGCTCTTCCAGCTACACAATAGGGGGCGGACCCGCCTCCCCGCCTCGGATGCCCCGAGCGCCTCCCGTCGCCCTGGAGACCGCCAATCCCCCCCTCCCGCGGCGGCCAATTGGAGCAAACAGAAGGCGAGGAGCGGCGGGCGCGACCCTCGAGCCGCCTGGGAGTTGTAGTTTCGGGGGGAGCAAGAGTCGGTGGCACGTGGGCTCGATCGCCCCCTGGTGGAGCTCTGTACAACCAAGCGTGGAAAGGCGGGTCGGCCACTTCACCCCGCAAGAGTGCGGGGCTCGCGGGTCAGGGCCGGTGCTCCAGGGGTCGCAGGAGCTGGCCCTTAGCTGGCTCTTCCTTCGTAAACTCGCTTCGACCCTCTCTCCTCCCCTAACGGACAGAGAGAACCGCAGATGCGGCAGCTAGGGTTGAAATCTGAGCCTTGGGGCAGGAGCGCCCGGCGGGGAGCGGGACACCCCGCCCTCCTCCCAGGGGATCCACCCAGCTACTGGGCTCTTCTGATCTCCTCCCCCATCCCCATCCCCACCTCCACCCATTTCCTCTCTGGCCAGACTGGAAATACCTGTCTGCGCTGGCGAGCTCCCAAATCTTGCCCAGGCGCCTCCCACAGTGTGCAGCAGGGGAAGGCTGCGCTCCGAGTTTGAAGTTGCCAAGTCAGCTCCTGCTGCAGTTCCCAGCACAAACGATCCAGAGAAACAGGCCCAGAGGGAAGAAAGGGGAGAAATGAGAGACATCCTGACACGGGAGATTGAAAGAGGAGGAGTGGAGTAAATGATCATTTACTGAACCCCTGCAGAGTGCCAGACCCTAGACTGCATACTTTATAACTCTTACGTAACCTGCACCCAAACCCTGTGAAATAGGTAAAGCTCCGTTTGACTAATGAGAAAAGGGAGGCTCAAGGGGGTGAAGTAACTTGCCCCAGACTTCCTATGTAGGACACGGCAGAGCTGGATTCAGACCCAGCCTGGACTTCATCAAACCCACCCCCTTGGAGACCTCAGGCTAAAAGATGTCTTGCATGTCTGCCCCTCAGAGCTTTCTACTTCCTCAGCTTGGTCCACCTTAGGGATACAGGGTCGTCACACCTTCCCTGCTAGGCGTAGGCAGTTATACCTGCTGTGGTCCTTCCCCTTCAGGAAGCCTCCCTCAAAGGCCACACACTGATCTCACCCCAGTCTGAACTCCTACAACTCAGACTGAGTGCACCAGGCATCTGATTCATGGGACCACAGCCTCAACATCGGGAGAGACCCTGCAGGATGGGTCTAACCACTGCTCACACCAGCATTCCTGCCTCATCCTCCCTCCAGGGGATCAGCCAGCCCCATCTGACCACATCCTGGGCCAGGAACCTCACCACTCCTTGTAGTAACCCATTCCATCTTTAGGGACACTGACTGTTGGAAAGTTCTACCAGGTGTAAACATCTGGCTTTATGTCATAGCCTGAGATGGAAGTGTGTGGGGGTGGAGGTGGGGGTGATGGGAGCAGTAGTGTGGTCTCTCCCACCATCCCTCCAGTGAATTCTCCCACAGTGGCAGCTTTTAGCTTACATTACTTTACAGTGTAGCAGACTGACCTAACAGTGATAAGACTATAATGAAAATATGTTAGTGGACACTCTATGAAAGCGAGGTCAGGCAGAATACCTAGGAAAGACGGTCAAAGAGCGAAGCCTTTTCTACATCTTGGCTCCTCACCAACCAGCGGGAAGGATCTCCCCTACACTAAAATCAGCTACACCTCTGGTCCAAAGGTTTCATTTCTGCTGTCTCCAGTGTTTTCCTGAGGATAAGCTAATCTCATTTGCATTTTAAAGTAACTTTTTGTAAACTTGAGGTTTAAAATAGTTTTCAATTTTTAAAAGTTTGTGATATAATCATTTTTTCCTGGAGGCTCATTTTGTGTTTTATTATTATTGTCATTTTGCTCTGATTCTGATGTATCTTGTTGGCTTTTTGGTAAAAAAAAAAAAAAAAAAAAAAAGGAACCCAGCCCTGTAGCTTGTTCCCTCAGCATGCCAGAAGTAAAAGTTGATCAAAATAGTCCATGAGGCTCAAAACTAAAGATTTTCTTCCAGGTTGTTATTGATCCCTAATCATTACTCTGGGAAAGTTTATTCGACCAACCAGGATTCTACTTAAAGCGGCAGTCGGTCCATATATTTTCAACTTGTTGACAAGGAGATGGGAAAATGTTGTCAATTTCAGTGTTTCTGGTCCTAGCAGCAGATCAGAAAAGAAGTATGGTTTCTCAGGTTGTCACTAAAGTGTTTGTGTGCCTGGCTTCTGACCCGATGAGACTGTAGCTCCACGACAGTGTGGAGCTTGTCTGCTTCCCCTTGTTCCCCCACAGCCGTTAGTCTACCAGTGGGGCCCTGCCTGCTTCTCCAGCCGTCTGCTTCTCACCTATCCTTTTATCACACCATGTGTGGCCTTGCAGGCACTAGAGTTCACTCCAGTGCCTTAGCACTTATCTTCTGCCTAGAATGTCCTTTTTCTCCCTTCCCTGGACTTGCTACTAATCACAGGGCAAAATTCTATTTACCTCTTCCCTCCAGGACACCTTGCCTGCCTCCTCCCACCACGCCCTCACCTTCACCCACAGACCTAGGCACACCTCATTGTAATTACATCTTTACACATCCCACACAGAGTTCCTTGAGGGCAGACTGTCTTTCCTGTCTCCCCAGGGCTGGCTCAGTGCCTGACACTTAGTAGGTGCTTACATATGACCCTCCTCTGCCCAGTTTGCTTTCACCTATTTCAAAGGGTTGAGCAAACTTTGCCAACTGTAAAGTGCTGTCAGGGGATTATTATCCTGACTTCCAGCTGAGGAAGAGGCCTGGGCCTCTCTGAGTTGATATTCCACCTTCTTGAGGGTCTCAACCTTCCTCTTCCAGCTACTCTGGGCTGTTTGGGGGCCTCAGCCTTTCTCTGCTCAGAGACTGGGTGTGAGAAGAAGGGACCTTGCCAAATTCCAGGGAGAGCTGTGGGCCAGTTGTGTAGGGACCATTCATCCCTTTATTTACTTTCTGTGTGCCAGATCCTGGAACACATGAGAAATGAGCTGCCCCCGTGCGTGCAAGATGGGCTCCAGTTGGTCTTTTCCAGTCAGTCTCCGGAAAGGCACTAAAGGAGTCGGATGAACTGGGGCTGCAGGCTTGGTCCTGGAGCCGCAGGCCTTTTGGAAGGTGGGACTGCTCAGGCTGAAGGGAGGTGCAGCAAACCAGCCTCACGCCAGAGACTGCCTTCTAGCGGGACAAGAACTCAGGCCCTCAGGGAGCAGAGTGGATCAGTTGCCAGTCTTAGGAGCTCTTTGGGGACTGGTGTCCCACCCTCACCACTTCCTTCCCAAGCCCCAAGGGGCTCCATCTCCTGCACAAAAACCTAGGCAGGAAGCCCCTGCCTACCTCCTGTGCCCTGCTCCCTTTCCAGTCTGGGGGACCCTGACTCCTGGCTGCTGCCTGTGCCCCATGCTGCTCTGGGAGCCCTGCTCCTGGGGTGTCCTAGTGCCTGCTTCACGTGTCCTATTTTCCTGAAAGCAGTGTCTTTGGTCACCACCATCCCCAGCACATCCCACTGCCCCTTCAGAGCCTTAATGTTCCTTTTCGTGGAAGACACTTCAGTGCTCAGCATCTTTTTCCTCACTGAGAGGGGGAAAGTGAGATCTAGAGAAATGTCAGGCATGCGCCTATGCCTGCCTCTCCTCCAAAGTGTGCATTCCCTGTGGAAAGGGACTGTGGCCCAAGGGGCATTTGCTGAACAAAGTGTCCCAAACCAGAGGTGAGGGGCAGAGCAGAGCCCAGATCTCCTGAGAGCTCACATGATGCTCCCCCTATTGTAGCCTACTTACCTCTTCTAATTCACTCCATACTGACGTGTGTCCTGTCACCTGGGTGGCTTCCAATTCCCTCTCCAATCTCCCACCCCGGCTCCCCACCCTCACCATGGTAGCTGCATTAAGTAACATCCACAAGATCTGATTTGGGGAGGACGACCAAGACTTCAGTAGTGGCACAATCCTGGAAGAAGAGTTCAGGCTGATCGTTGGGCTCAGGAAAGAGCAAGAACATAAACTTAAGGGCCTTGGCCAGGGGTGGAGGGTATAAAGGATAGGCATTCTTCTCTCCCAGGACAAGAGTCCAGAGAGAAGTTCTGAGACATGGAAATCTATCGAGAAGGGACAGAAAAGACAGTAAGACCACCCACAAACAGAGGTCAAAGTTCCTGACCTCAACTATTGATCCAGCTGGGTTGTCATCTCTGTGGGGCAGGCACCAGAGGCCCAGAGCAGCAAGGTCACCAGAGCGGGGCTGCACCTGGCTGCTGCTTATCTCCCTGGGCAGGACAGCCTCTCGACAGGGGTGGGGTGCGTGGGAATAGCTAAGTGAACTCATCTGGGTAGGGGGGCAGTAAGGGGTATTAGAGCAGAAAAATCATAGCAGGAATAATACCAGTCTTGTATAGGGTTTTCAGAGCCCGAAATTCTCCCATTTAGGAGTCACAGGTTCAGTTAGGTTCACAGGGATCTCTCACTTTTCTTATTTAAAGTGTAAATGTTGTGTGTGTTGGTGGGGAATGGGATAGGCGTGAACAATAACAGACAACACCTCATTGTGAATGGGTCTCTAGACTCACTTTCTTCCCCAAAGGCAAGCACGGACAGCGTGTGGGCGTGGAGGAGAACACCTGGAGTGGGAGGAAAGGCAGGGAAGCGGGACTGTACAGTCTCCCGGCCAAGGACCAAACACAGCTCCTCCAGAGTGGTGGTCACTTTGTTTTAGTTTATTGTCAGACAATCTTCCCTTGGGAGTATGGCCCGTTGGACATCCACCCCTCGCCCCCCTGGGAGAAGAGGAAGGATTCTCCGGGGGCTGGGAAGAAACAAAGCTCTGAACTGGGGTCTCCGTGGAGCAATCAGGCCCAGCTGGGATCAGGCTTCCCCTTCTTTCTCAGTTTCATTCTGTTTCTCCTGAGTGTCTTCATCCTTGGCGTTTTGCATCTCGTCTGGACTCGGATATACCAGAGTCCCACGGCCAGAATCACCAAGAGCAAGAGAAGGAGCAATCCCTTGGCCAGGAGGCAGAAGGAAGTGGAGGTCTTCTCCAAAGGGTAGCCAGGATCTGGGACGGAAGAAGGGAAGGAGAGAGGCACTCACCCGAGGGAGGGTGAGGCCCAGATTACGGGTCAGACACCTACCCCAAATTCCACAGAGGGGATCTCAAGTTCACAGTCAGTTGATGTTCCCTTGCAAGTGTCTCTGGACATATACACTCTATTCACAGAAGCTCAGGAACTGAGATCTGGGGAGCACTCTCAAGCTGAGCAAGAGACCCGACGAGACCTTTGGAAGTTGGGAGCAGTAAGAAAAGGGAGGCCCTCCCTCCCCATCGTTCAGGGGTCAAGTCTCTTTGGGAGGGGGTTAGGTTCTAGATTCCATGTGCTCTCTTGGGAAGAACTGGGGGAGGCAGGTGGTGGCCTTGAGGTCCTGCAGAAGTAGCTCAGGGGCTGTCTCTGGGGGCCTGGTACCTGCACAGAAGGGCCCAGCAGGGATGAGACGGGAACTGACGTTGCTGACGGGGTTGCCGGCCCTACAGGTATAGGAGAGGGCATTGTCCCTAGGCCTCCAGGATGTGCTGAAGACAGAGCCTTCACGAGCTGTGTCAGCACCGTCCTCCCGGGATATCCAGCTGTAGGTCACATCCAGCCCTGCCTTCTCTACAGAGCAGGTCAGGGACATATTACAGGGACCTTCCCCAGAGATCTCAAAGTTCACAGTGATTTGAGGCTCCGACAGCCGTCCTAGATGAAGGAGAAACACAAAGACTGTCTAAGCAATCCGGGGTTGAGTCTGTTCTCCTAAGCTCCTCAACATGGCCCTCTGAGAGCCCCTTCAACTACACAAAAAATAGCAAAAACCAACAAAACCCAGCCACCATAAAACCCATGGTTGCAGAGTCCCCAGGGCAGCTGCTCAGGTAGAGACAGCTGCCTTTGGCATCTTCTACTCCCCTTCCTGCCTTGCTTTCTCTCTTTTACCTTTGTGCCCCACCTTCCTCCAAACCCCATTCTGCCTCCTTGATCCCGGAACATACTATCACCCCTCTCAGGGGCATTTATAGTTTAATCAGTGTCTCTGCAAGATTCAAGGTAGAATATCAGTCAGTGTCACACGCACTAAGAAGAAATTTGGGTTCAAGTAGAACGGAGATACTGATTAGTCACCTTCAAATCACACGAGAGGATAAAGGCTCAAGAATGAAGGTGGCATTCATCCCCTGGGTGCAAAATCTCACTGGGAGAGAAAGGCCCCCTTGAGGTCAATACATGAAGCGCCTGCCTCCTCTCACTGTGTCAGGCACGTCCACGGAAACAACCTTGGTGCCCACGACCTCGCTGCTCCAGGTCATTCTACCTGTGGTGCACCTCAGACACTGGGTTGGGCACACTGCCTTCCCGTCTCAGCACCTCACACCATAACCCCGAGTCCTGAGAGCCCTCCTCCTTTGGGTGGGAGGCTCAGGAGAGCCAGAAAAAGCAGCTCTATGGTTCCCAGCCTAAACTCACGATAGACACGTAGATTGTAACGCTGCGTGGTGGAGATCTGGGATGTCCTCAGATTGACTTGAGCTTCGTAAGACCCTGAGTCCTCCCAGGTCACATTGCTGATGTGCAGGGAGTAGCTGGGGCCCAAGAAGCTCACTCGGCCCTGGTAGCGAGAGTTGGTCACTGTGATGGTGTCTGGATGTCCCTCTTTCCCTGGCACCACAGTGGCAAGCCTTATGCGGGAGGACCAGATGATGTCCTCAACCTCTTCACCAGATGGTATTTCCAGGGGTAGAGTAATGGACTCCTGAAGGACCGCAAGCACTTCCTCAGGATCCACATCATCTCCAGAGTACCCTTTGTCTGCAGATACAGAAGGAAAATCTGGTGTCTCCTGGCTGCTGAGCCTGGCAGGAGGGCCGTGGTCTCAATCTCAACTGAGCAGCCTCTATGGCCCCACACTCAATCTTGACCTCCAGCTGCCTCTCTGGCTCTAGCTTTCTGCTGCACCTGACTTGAGCACCTATCAGGGATCGGCTTCCCTCTGTGCCCTCACCCTCCAAATCTTGCCTTCTCCATTTGTCATTGTGGGGCTGCTCCCCCTTCCATATCCCCAGAGTCCCTCATTTCTTGGTCCTGCCCTGAAGCCACACACTATTCCTCGTTACTCCAGAAGAACTGGTGCATTCAGCCCCAGAGTAAGTGCCTCGCTAGCCCAAAGCCCAGCAGAACAGGAGAACAGAGTGCGCAGGAGACACTTCTGTCCCGGAGCAGCAGTGTCTCTCACCTTCCTGGATCAGCAAGAGGAAGAGCAGCCATGGAAGGGCCCCCATGTCAGCAGCCCCGAGCCCCAGGAGGCTGACTTAGTCAGCCCCCAAGGCTGTGAAGAAGACGAGCTCTCTGGAGGCTGCTAGAGACAGAGTGACTGATTGACAGTCTTGAGGGAAGAGAAATAATTCTCACCCTATCCAGCAGCCCTCTAACTTCCTCCAGCCTCACTAAGCCCCTCCCTGCCTGCTTGGGAAGAGTTCTCTCTCAGAGCCTGATTGTCAAAATGGTCTAGCCACTGACTCATGTTTCCTGTTCATCAAACTCAGCTCAAATCCCACTTCCTAAAAGAAGCCTTCCTAGACTCCCCACGCTCTCAGACCCCTCAAACATATCACCTGCTCCGAGCTCTTAGATCACTTTCCATCCAGCCCTGTCATTTGGCTCGCAGCATATTCCGCCTTGCCTTTCCCTAGGCAGTTACTCTGTGGCTGAAATCATTTGATCCTGTAAACATCTTTATCTCCCCAGGCAGACTGCATCTTTTGGGACATCTCTGTTTGTCCCACTGTTGCTGGTCCCCATGCTAGACACATGCAGCGCTCAACTGATATTTTTGGGATGGATGAATGAATGAAGTCTTTCTATCTAAAGCTAGTTACGTTCCCACTTGAGAGACTAATCAGAGGAAGAAGTTTGGTTCTTTAAAAAAGCAGTTTGGACCAGAGAGCTGATCCAAATAGGAAATCTGATGGTCAGAGCCGTCCAGGATGCAATGGGTGGCCTTCGGAGGTAGTTTCTGGTGTTCAAAGTAAGACTGGACAATCACTTGCTTTGATTTTCTGCAACATCTGTGGCATCAGATGGGTCCTCAGATGAGATAATGTTTAAGTTCCTTCTAATACTCAATTCCCTTAGTCTGTGCTGTGCTGAGGAAACAAGAGTGGTGTCTCAAGACCAAGAGCACCATGGAGGCAGATATATTCAGTTCTGGTCCTGCGCCAACATTTCATATCTTTAGGTCAGCAGATTTGGCACTTGAGCAAATACTTACTGAGCAGCTTTTATGGCTCAGACACCATCCTAAGTGCCGGAAGATCAGCAGTGAACAAGAATTTTAGATGATGACTCTGTGGAGCTCATAAGCTAACCACTGACCATAGACCAGTAGGTTTGATGAGTCTCATTAAAGGAAAAAGCCAGGGGCCGGCCCCGTGGCCAAGTGGTTGGGTTCATGCGCTCCACTTCAGAGGCCCAGGGTTTCACCCGTTCGGATCTTGGGCGCGGACATGGCACCGCTCATCAAGCCATGCTGAGGTGGCGTCCCACATGCCACAACTAGAAGGACCCACAACTAAAAAATACACAATTATGTACCAGGGGGGTTGGGGGAGAAAAAGGAAAAATAAAATCTTGAAAAAAAAAAAACATTGTTAAAAAAAAAAAGGAAAAAGCCAGGGAGCCCGTAGCAAGGGGGTTTAGCAAAGCTGACGTCAGCAGAGTCAGGGAAAAGCTTTCAGGGAGAAATGATATTTAAGCTGAAACTTCAAGGATGAGTAGGATTTTCTAAGTGAAAAAGAGAATGAGTGGATAGTTCTTAAAATTCAATTTATGAGTATCAAACCTCAGGGACCAGGAGTTTTTGGAAAGGTAGACCGGGTCTCAGTCTGAGTATAAAAACATTTTTATTTAATCTTCCATTTAAAAAAAGTAAAATTAAAGCAAGGGGGGAAGAGAAATATTCAGAGGTTAAGGGGTGAGTGTACCAGTTAGGTTCTCTGAGAAGCAGATGCTGGAGTTAGGAATGAAAGAGGTTTAATGGGGCAGGGGTATTGCCTGTAAAAGATAAAAAGAGAAGGAAGCAGAATTGAGCAAGGAGAGCCTCAGACCATGATGCAGAGTGGAGGGATCCACTAACTCAGCAGCGAGCTCTGGGCAAAGATCCAGCACCCCCACTGTGCACAGTCCTTCGCTGGGCCTGAAGCAGATCCACCGGAGGCTGTCAGTTAACTGCACCTTCACAGCTGAAGACAAGCTCTCTCTTGAAAGGAGATCCAGAGGCAGCTTTGTAGGTGCTACTGAAAATGTGCTGATCAGCCAAAAGGTAACTGTGTTCAGACTGATTAAATCTGTCTCCATAAATAAGCATAAACAGTATATTACGCTTATTGAGCAGAGGAAAATAATTTTCCCTCCCTCCCCAACTGCCCCCAACTCATCCTCACTAAGCCCTCCTAGTCCGATGTGGAGAAAATACTTCTCAGAAAGTGATTTTCAAGTGCTCTGAAAATCTGCTTTCCATTCTGGCTCATGGATTGTGACCCAGATGCAGCTCTGTTTCTGTCTCTCACTGCCCCTTTACTCTTGTCCAGTGAGGTAGTCTTCCTCTGCCCCAGATGAGAACTCTCGCCTTGCTTTCTGGTCTCAGTTCGGAAATGAGAACTTCCTGTCCCATGTAATATACAAAATTCCAAAATTAAATTAGAATCAAACCATCTCCCCTTCCCCTGGCTTGGATCTGTTTCAGGCTGGAAGCCTACAAGGAGGGAGAGAGAAAGGGCCTGCTCTCTACTCAGCTTCCCTCTCCACCTCAGCTCCCCTCAACTCACCTCCCCAAACGCACCTTCCCGTCCCCAGGAGGGCAGGCAGGGAGGGGAGGCGATGAAACTCTTCTTACATGGCTGAGTGGCTTTGTTCTCTGTGGGTCTGGCAGATGGTTAAGATGGCCTCTTTTCTCTTGAGGTACAGTTTGGTGGGTTCTTAAGCGTTTCCACTGGTTTCCTCTCTCCTATTCTTGACTCAGGGTGGGTGCATCTCTGTTCTGGGTGGTCCTTTGAGACTCCTTTCTTGCCCCTTGGACATCTGGCCATACATCTCTACTCCTCCCCTCACCCCTCCACCTGTCCCCACTGTGCAGCACCCAGAACAACCAGGTGGGCTGTATCTCATGGGTGTCCCGTGACTGCCCACCATCACATTCCTCACCCTAGTAGATTCCAAGAGCCACAACACTACACCACACTCCTGGCTGCCCAGTGGGAGGCCCACCTCAGTCCACAGTTCGTTCTAACGCTCCCAGGCCCACCCCAGGCTCCTGTCTCCTCAGACCCTCACCTGCAGGGCACAGGTTTCAAAGCTCTCCAGGTGCTCTCCTTGAAGTCTCCTCACTTGGTTTGTGGTCAGAGACAATATCGTCTATCCTCTGGGGGAAAAGGTGGAGGGTGCTCACCATAAAATAAGCTATTTCCAAAGAAATCTCTTTCCAATCTCCCTCTCTCCACTCCCCATCCATGGAGGAGGCGTTCCAAGAGCAGTGACACAGGTTCTCCTTCATTCCGGCTGTAAATCCCACAAGAGGAGATCTCCTTCAAACTGCCTTCGATCTCCTGACACCTGTCACAGGGAGACCTCTGTGCAACCACAGCAGGGAGAGTTCCTGCTAACATCTTGCTTGTAGCAGATGCTTAAGTATCCCTACCACAGCCTTTGGTCCTGTTGATTTCCACACTGCAGAGGTGGACAGTTTCATTATTGTGCCCCTCCACCCTGAAGTTTGCATCTCTGCTTTTCTGGTTCAGGGCTTTCTCTGATGCAGTGGAAGGTCATCAGCCCAGGCTCAGTGCAGCTGGGAAGTGTAGGGGAGTGTACCAACCCCAGAGGCAGCCCAACCAGTGGAGTGCTGACTTGACAGGGAGCTGCCCCAGGCTCCCTGCCCTTCCATGGGGCAATTCTGAGCCGTGTTCTCTATGGCACTTCAGCTGGATTGAGCCCCAGTTGCCCACAGCTGTAACCAGCCACTGACACGCCCTTTATTGGTTTTTCTCCCTTCCCTGTCTCATGTTCCTCGTTCTTTCAGGTTTGTTTCCTGGGTCATCTTCCAGAAAGACTTCCTCCACCCAAGTGCTTGTCAAAGCCCCTCATTGGGAGGAACCTAGATTAAGGTGCTATTAGAAACGGTAAAGTAGTTGAGCCAGTGAAATTTAGATCCCTTATCCCCTCTGCCTGGGTTTTTAGGGGCAAATAAGTCAATGAGAAATAAGCCTCCCACCCCAATTCTTCTGATATAACAGTCTTGGGAAAGAGCGACCAGTGAAAAGCTGGTCCTGCTCTGATGGAGAGGATGAGGGGAATCATAATGGTTCAAACCTTTGCTCAGACTTTCTCCTCAGCTTCTCTTTGGGTCTGGAAAGATGGGGAGCCACACAGCAGACCCATGGTCCTAGAGGAGCCATTAGCAGCTAAGTTCCAAAGAAGCCACTTCCCTCCCAACACAAAGTAAGGTGAGACCTACATGTGTCTTCTGTTCCGGGGCCTGCTGTGTACTTGATCCATGATTTGCCTTCTTCTTTTCCTTTTTTTTTTTTTAAAGTGTCAGGGTTAAAAGAGTGATTATGCATTCGAATCTTGAAGTTGGCTGGAGAGAACTGAAACAGTCTGCAGATTGTTGAAGTGCACCCAAAGGAGTCATTATGAAACAGAGGAGAAAGGAGTGTTCCTTGCAGGGGGACCAGCCTCTTCATGATCCCCAAGGTGGGAGAAAACTGAGCACATGGAGGCATAGATGGCATCCCGACCAGGTAGGGTGGAGGAGAGCTGCGAGGGGGCTGCAGAGGGACTGGAGACAGCTCACCAGGGCCTTAGAGACCTGGTCAGGAGTTTAGAAGTCATACTTTCTCAAGAAATTTACCTTTGACAAGGAAGAGAAATATAGGATGGAGGCGAAGGGAGCTCTTAGGGTAGAGGGAGGTTTTATTGCTGTTAATTTTTTTTAAGATGGGAGAGATTTGAATGTATTTAAATGCTGAGGGGACAAGTAAGGAGTGGAGCTGCACAGGCAGGAAAGAAAGGAGATGATCAACAGAGCAAAGCCTGAGATTCAGAGTCCAGGAAGAAGAAGTGGTCTTAGGTCGCAAGATGCTCCTTCACTATAATAAGAAAAGATGGTCAGAGATGCAGGTAGACCTGTGTGTAGCAAGAAGTTACGGGGAGTCCTGTCTAGTGGTTTAAATTCTCTCTGTAAAGTAGAGGCCGAGGATCTGCTGAAACTGAAGATTTAAGTGTGTGTATCAACGGCAGGTATTTCAGGAGAATGGATAAAGTTTAAAAGAGTTGAGGGGACTCTGTCCAGGTTTCCTGGGACAGTCCCAGTTTAAGCCTATTGTCCTGGCATAATGATTAATAGTACCCCTTTTCACCCTTATAAAGTGTCCTGGTTTATAGGATAAATTATGTGGTTACCCTAAAACAGGAGCAAAATATTATTAAAGGAATCACAGTGAGATAGGTAAGCTTTGCAAGTTCTAGACCACTCTTAGCTTTTCTGGTCAACAAATTGCCCTGAAGATCTGGAGGAAGGCAATGGGGTGGGCAGGGGATAAGAAAATGCATCTGGAACCAAACTGCATGGGCTCCTTCGTCTGCAGAAAAAGATACTCACAATACCCACTTCATAGGATGGTGGTGAAAATGAAATGAGATGACACCCGTGAAGCACTTCGCACAGAGCCTGGCACGTGGTGAGGGCTCAGTGAGTGTGAGTTGTGGTTATTACTGAAGGTTGGTTAAGGGTAAAGACTGTCGGCTTTGGCATTATGAAGACCTGGGGCCCTTGGTAACTGGCCAGGGTCTGTAGCTACTGAAGAGAATACACAGGAAGTCTCAAGATAAGACACATGAATGGGTTCATTCGAGAACGTTCGCTGGCAGCACCAATCAGCTCCTGGTCTGGGGAGACAGCAGGCACTGCTGCCAGAATGTACAGCCCAGCTCAGGGTTTTCCAGGCCACCTGCCTGTTCACCAGGTCAGCCCATAATGAATGCAGAGCCCACACACTAGGCTGAGCCCCTTTAATGCACTGACAACTCATTCCTTGTCTCTCGGGCATCACAGATGCCAGAGTGGTTCCTACACACACACCCTCCTCCCTCGACTTCCCTCGTAAGTACGATTTGTCTGCCTTTTCTCAAATCGACTCACCAGGTCGTGTGTCCTCTGCTTCCTTTATGCTTACTGTTCTCAAAATGCAGGTTTTGTACCATCTGCATCAGAACCACATGGAGGGCTGGTTACAACGCTGATTCCTTTGGCTCCATTCCACACCTGGGGAATCAGGATGGGGACCGCGGGGGGAGGAGCCTGCAAGTCCACCTGTTTGTCAAGGTCCCTTGGGCAGGTCCACTGTAGGCTAAAGTTTGAGAATGCCACACTTTGCCTGCTCTTCTATTTTGCTGAAGCAGAG